GTCCGAACCGGTAGGAACCCACCACTCTGTGTGTGTGTGTGTGTGTGTGTGTGTACCATTTTGCCCAAAAATAAGAACTTGTATTGGGCGCACATGTAAAAATTGAGCAAGAACTTACTTTTGGGATAGGTCATATTACCCATTAATTGGTTTTTCTGCACACTGGAGTGCACTGGAGTAAATCAACCTCAGCAATTTTAACTTGTGTTGATATTTATTTATTCATTGGACTTGTATGGCTGTCTTTCTTATATGATGACTCTGGGTCATGCCTATCAAACTGGCGGTTCACGGGCCAGATGTGTCATATGCAGGCCATGCCCACCCGGGCTCCGTAAAGGCAAAAAACGTTGTGATACGTCACAATATGCCAAGTGACACACCTGTGCTCTAGGTAATTCAGGACAATCCATAAGGAACGTAAGTTGCCCCAGAATAACTGCTGGGGAATTCTGGGAGTTGAATTCCATACACATCTTAGGTTGAGAAACACTGGACTAGATTTCCACAAAATCCAAGCCAATTCTACTGTTTTATGATTGTGTGATACTTTGCATAGTGGTAAGCCTAAATCCAGTTTCTGTTCTGTATTCTATTATAGAATCAGCAGAATCCAGCACACACCAAATCTGACTATAAGAGAAGCTATAATGCAGAATATATTTGGAATCAGATCCTAATTTTTACATTTGACATGCTGTGCGGTGCTTTAGATAATGAAAAAAATTATTTATGTAGGCACATTATATCACAGATTAGAATATAATATTATACAAGGACACTGATTAAATAATCTGTTTTTCATCTTAATAAACATCTAATGGTAAGGTTGTATATAAAGCCAGATAGATTAAATGTATTCTGCCTAAAAAAAGTAATTATTCTTGCTGTTAAGTAAATGTGCATATTTTGCGAAATTAATTCTGCTTCTAAATATAGAAAAGATTAAAGAGGTATGTAAATTATTGAAGCTATGTCACTTTTTAACCATGGAGACAAACATAATATATTCACATATTATAAAACATGAAATATTTTACAAAAAATAGATTTTATCAACTACAATTGTAGATTTAAATCTTTTTTTATTATTTTAATTAATATACAGGTAGTCCTCAACTTACCACCACAACCGAGCCTAAAATTTCTGTTGTGAGACATTTGTTAAGTGAGTTTTGCCCCATTTCATGATCTTTGTTGCCACAGTTGTTAAGTGAATCACTGCCGTTGATAAGTTAGTGTTGTGGCCCAGCAGATGCCGTTGGAGCTGCCACCAGACTCCGACAGCGAGGGACTCTCTGAGTCGGCTCTGGAGGATGTGGTGGACCCTGGACAGGGTTCCAACTCCGAGCAGGGTGCAGAGAGGCTGGTTAGCCACCAGGAGGCACCTGAGCCTTGGACCAGTGGGGAGGAGCCTTGGACCAGTGGGGAGGAGCNGGCAATATGCTGACTCTGTAAACCGCTTAGAGAGGGCTGAAAGCCCTATGAAGCGGTATATAAGTCTAACTGCTATTGCTATTGCTATTGCTACACAGGAGATATTTTCCAACTTCCATGCCTCCGTTTTCAATGCTCACAGTGATCCATTCCTTCCCTATTCACCCATGGCTTGGAATTGTTTCTGTCAAAACCATATTACAAAGTAGAATTATATGTAATTGCAAAAGAGGTATTAACACTCAATTATTTTTGTCTTTCCAAACAATGACAGCTATTGACTTACAAAGGTTTTGTGCGATCTTTGGATCCAGGATTTTCAGTTCTTTGATTCGTTTTTTAACAGGTTTCCTCTCTTCAAAGCCTTCGTCTCTTTTCACTGTCAAGACAAACGGTTGTATGTGTGTGTCAACATACAGAAATGTTTATGTTACCGCAGTTGTGTAGAATTTGAGCTTCAATGTAGTTTCAACGTGAGTACTGTTCAGTACGGTACAATTCATTGTATTCGGGTTTACCAATTGCTGATGAGGCATGTAGAGCAACGTTCCCCAATCTTTGCGGCCCAGCTTGGGGGAGGTGGGGGGGGACAGGGAAACAGGGCCGTGCGAGCAGTGGTCTGGCGCACATGTGTGCATGAATGCACAGCTTTCAAGCCAGGGGGAAGTTCCTTGAGGCTTCCTATTTTTCTACTTGCATTTTTACATGCTTTCGAACTGCTAGGTTGGTAGAAGCTGGGGCAAATCACAGGAGCTCACTCTGTTACACGGCACTAGGGATTCGAACTACTAAACTGCCGATTTTTCTGATTGACAAGCTCAGTGTCTTAGCCACTGAGCCATTGTGTCCTTTTTTATTTAAGGGCTTAGCATACCTTAAATAAACTAGCCCAAAACAATCAGGCTCCTGCCAAATTATTTCTCATAACTAAAATACATGTTATATTTTCCCAGCTTTTAGTCACGCTCTCCATAGTCTAATAATAAACAGTCATTTTAACAGCTCGACAGAAATATTTCAGCAGTAAATGCATGCTTTTCTTAATTGTATTAGACGAGGAGAGCTTAAATGGAAAAGTGAAAATAATACTGTCGGCAAAGTTCTATTCCGTATGTGCCGCAGTTATAAATGATGGCAACCTGAGTTATTAATGCAACAATTATCATATGACACAAGCATAAGTATTCATCAGCTGTAGTGACAAGCACTGCAGGTGTTTATTGAAAATAAAATAGGCTGGTTTTCTAAAAGAAGGCTTTAAATCAGAAAAAATAGTTAACTTACCATTTTTCTGACAACAAAAGGTAAGTTCCAGCTTGCACAGCAAATCGGTGCTTTCATACTTCCCATCGTTGGCCATTATCCAGAAACAGTTTTCAGTCATTTCCTGGGGTCTAATCTGCAGAGGGAATATATGCATCTTACTTTCCTGTTATCGTTCATGCCACACTTTTGTAAGGGGTCTCAAAGCGTGTGCCTTAGGGCAATCTGACCCCTACCTACCATCTACAGATTGCAGATTCCCGAGTGGGAAAAAAAACTGGTCTCTTTTGTGGGTAGATTCATGGAATAAAAATCTGTGTTTTTAATTCACTTTAATATAGCAGAGTCCGCATAAAAAACACCCTCCTGCCTAGACAGGAAACCCTATACCATTTCAGACAAATGGTTATCCAACATCTTCTTGAAAACTTCCAGTGTTGGAGCATTCACAACTTCTGAAGGCAAGCTCTTCCACTGGTTAATTCTTCTTACTGTCAAGAAATTTCTCCTCAGTTCTAAGTTGCCTCTCTCCTTCATTAGTTTCCACCCATTGCTTACTGTCCTACCCTCAGGTGTTTTGGAGAACAGTTTGACTCCCTCTTCTTTGTGGTAACCCCTGAGATATTGGAAGACTGCTATCAAGTCTCCCCTAGTCCTTCTTTTCATTAAACTATACATATCCAATTCCTGCAACTGTTCTTCATAAGTTATAGCCTCTGGTCCCCTAATCATCTTTGTTGCTATTCTCTGCACTCTTTCTAGTCTCCACATCTTTTTTACATCATGGTGACCACAACTGGATGCAGTAGTCCAAGTGTGGAATACCAAGGCATTATAAAGTGGTATTAACCTTTCATGTGATCTTGATTCTATCCTTCTGTTGATGCAGCCTAGAACTATGTTGGCTTTTTAAGCAGCTGCTGCACACGGCTGGTTCATATTTAAATGGTTGTCCACTAGGATTCCAAGATCCCTCTCACAGTTACTACTGTTGAGCAAGGTACCACCTACACTGTACCTGTGCATTTCATTTTTGTTGCCTAAATGTAGAACCTGACTCTTTTCACCCTTGAATTTCATTTTGTTAGATAGCGTCCAATGTTCAAGTCAGTCAAGATCCTTCTATATCTTAAGCCTATCTTCTGGAGGGCTGGCTATTCCTGCCAGCTTGGTGTCATCTGCAAATTTGATGAGTTCCCCATGTATCATCTAATCAATGTTAGATCACAGTAGCGGGGCAGAATAAAACATGCTAGAGATGTTAAGATTATTGAGGATATGTAGACCACAGTAGCATGGGCTTAAATATATCCTTAAATATATCATTTAAAGAAGAGGTTGTGTCTGAAATGGTACAGAGCTGTGAACAAATGGCGCGCAGAGCTCTCTATGTGGGCACGTGCAGCGGCCAGCTGCTCTTCCAGGTTTCGTCCTGCGCAGAGTCCTGCCTTAGTCCTTCTTTTCCTTAAACTAGCCATGCCCAGTTTACATGTTTTAGCCTCCGGCCCCCTAATCATCTTTGTTGCTCTTCTCTGCACTCTTTCTGGAGTCTTCCTTGTCTTACCTTGGACCAGTTGACTCTCTTCATGGTCACCTCAGGCTTAAATTCTTTTTTGGGTTTCAATCCGAAAGGCAGCGATTGAGGGGCAGGGGAGCGTTGGCCCCCAGGCAATCCATGTAGCGGAGGTGGGGGTGGCGGAATACCCCCAGGAAGATTGGTTTTTGATCCACTAGCAAAGGCAGGCGGGAGAGGGGGCGGAGGAGGTGGAGGTGGAATCGTTCCAGCGGGAGCTCCTGGGGATGGGACCCCACCTGTGGGGCCTTCAAGAGATGTCAGGGGTGAAGCATCGGTTGAGCCATCCTGGAAAAAAGAAAATGTTGGCATTTGGAACTTAAAACACTTTGTGCAGTGATTTTTGGAATGTAAATATTTTTTTTTCTTCCAAAGCAAACAGAGCAGAAGTTAGTAAATTCCGCCATCAGTAAATTCAAGAAGATACAGAACCCAGATGATACACTATTAAACGAGAAAGGGGGGAAGAGGGCGGGGGGACAGAAAAGAAAGTATTAAATATACAAGTACCGTATTTTTTGGAATATAAAACGGAGCTTTTTCCATCAAAAAAGAGGCTGAAAATCTGGGTGCATCTTATACACTGAATACAGCATTTTTTGTCTCCCGAAACCCTGCTCCCTTCACCAAAATGGCCATGCGTAGCCTCTAGGAGGCTTCCAGAGTGCTCCTGGGGGCTGGGAAGGGCAGAAATGAGCGAAAAACAGACTGTTTTGGAGAGGTCTGCAGAGTGCAAAAACTTTTTTTTTTTTAATTTGCCTCTTCAAAATCTTGGTGCGTCTTATACTCCGAAAAATACAATATATATTCAAGAGCGAGATATAAAGAGGGAGGAAAGCATGGTTAGGATAGATTAGCCAGGGTAAGGGAATTAGAAATGATACTAAATTATATTTGGGTTTGCAGAAATACCATCCCAAGAAAACATAAACTGAGATTTGAGACACCTATAACAACAGAAAAAGGGAGAAAGGAGGAGAGAACAAGAGGAAGAGGAGGGAAGGAAGGAAGAGGGAAGGAGAGGAGGGTGAAAGGGAGAGAAAGAGAAGGAGAAAGGGTAGGAAGGGGAAGAGTAAGAGGAGGAGTAGGGGAGGGGGAAGGGAAGAAGGAAGGGGAAGGAGAGGAGGAAGGAAGGAAGGAGAGAAGAGAGGGAGGGAGAAAAGAAAGGAAAATAAGGTGCTGTTACAACAGGCGGAAGGGATGGTAAATAAAGCAACCCGAATTGCAGATTATTACCTATTAAATGGAATCACAAATGTATAAGAATAACAAATGTAAAGAAGAATAACAATTATGTGAATGTATACTTACAATGGTATATAAGAGAATAAAAAACAAAAAAACAGTAAATTCAAGTAGGAATGATTCCCTTATAGAAAATAAATTACCCAACAAGGCAAACTTAGATCTTTAGAACACAATTTCTGAGGGCAAAGAGAAATCAAAGTAGGTGAATGGAGTCAAACAGAAATCAAAAAACCTTTCCCAAAATATTGGTTTCAATCAACTACCAGGGTATATCATGGGATGGAAGGACAGGAATTTTAAGTGAGTAGTATTTTAGTACTACAATGTAATGATTCTTCCTCTTTTTACATTTTAATAATTTGTTCCTCTTTCGGATATTATACATTATATAACTTTTGTCTTAAAAATAATTTATCACCATTTATAATGTCACGATTTTATTCTGTGATCTCTATACTGTATTATTTCCTATCCTGACATTTGCATTGTCCCTAAAATTTAGCAGTGAGTTTTGCAATCAAAACGTATTCAGGTATCTTTAATCGCTTATGAATATGATAAAACCGTGAACCTCAGCAGATCATTTGTAAATTCCTTCTTATTTACTTTATTCTATTGCTATGGGGTTTTTTTCTTTCTTTCCTGTAAGTGGAATTGTGAGAGTGTGTGTGTATGTGTGTATCTTAAATAAATTGTACCACAGGAATAGTCAAGAACTATTTTGCCCCCAGGTGAGAAGGTATGTCTTTTTCATCTTTTTTCCTTCGCTTGTGTTGCTTTTTTAAAAGAAACTGATGATTATTTTAAGTTTTATGGCTAATCCTTTTAGTCTGGTTCACTGAAAAGCAACAGATAAGCATATTTATTTATAACTTTTCATATATATAAACTAAGGAAGTGAGCCAAATGTATCGTCTAAAATCCGACAACTAACAAACAACACCCAGCACAAGTGTAAAGGACAGACAATTCATTTAGTGACTGTTCAAAGCTACAACTGAACTGAAAAAGGGGACTTATGACCATTTTTCAGAGTTTCACAACTGTTGCAACATCCCGACAGTCACAAAGAGAACAAAACTCAGATGCTTGGCAACTGACTCGTATTTATGATGCTTGAGGATTTCCCGGGGTCATGTGACAAGTGGGGGAACCAGACAACGGGGAAAGTAGATTCACTGAACAACCGTGCATAACTCGGTGGTTCAGGGAATTTGATAGCTGCATAACAACTGCAGCTATTCATTTACCAACTATGGCAAGAAAGGTGGTGACATAGGGCAAAATTCACTCAACAGCTTTCTCCCTTAGCAGCAGATATTTTGGAGTCAACGGTGGTCATAAGTCGAGGACTGCCTGTGATTAATTTGAACTAGTTGATTGAACTAATTAGCCAATGAGATGGGGTTTTTAGCAGAGGGAGGGAGGAGATGAATGTAAGGAAGGGAGGGAGGGAAGTGGATGGAAGTAAAGAAGGAAGGGAGGGAGGGAGGGAGGGAGGGAGGGAGGGAGGAGATGGATGTAAGGAAGGGAAGAAGGGAGGAGATGGATGGATGGATGGANGAGAGACAAATATATTGTTTGAAGTATATTGTTTGAAGCAGATCCCACCCATGTACCCATCAGCCAGCACTCTCAAAACAAGTGCACACTGGGAAGCCAGACTCCATTTTAGAGAAGGCAGAAGCACAAAGAATCCATCTTCATCTGTGGCACATGGTCATCCAAGCAAACCCACATCCCCCACACAGAGCATCACTGGGGAGATTTAGATTGCTTGTGTTTATTAATTGTTACGCTCAGCAGGAACTCAATACTGTCTGTCTTGTACTTGGTTCTCATTGTATGTATCCCTGTTTTCCCCAGTTTCACCCTATCCTGTTCTTTCAATAAAGCATCCAGATCTACACACATGGTCTGTTCTATTGGAGGAAAGGTGGGTTTAGATGCATGTCGAGCGGCACGCAGACTAATATGTAGCAAGGACAGAGTTCTTAGATGTTACAAAGCCTCCTAGGAGCATGGTGGCTCAAGTGGTTGGAACATTGGCCAGGAGATTAGCAAGCCTGCATTCGAGACCCGAGAGGGTTTGAGCTCCCGTCCTTCACTCAAGCTCCTGCCAGAGACACGGAAAGAGCCCCCAACTGGGCATCCCCAGGGCAACGGTGATGTCCTTTCAACCCGGAAACCCCTCAGCGCTTCTGACACGAATGCAGTGAAGCCTCTTTTCCCCCTCAAGTGCTTTGGACGGCACAAAGGTTTGATATATATAATTATTAGGCATTTACCGCCATGCAAGTCTCAGTATGTTATAGAAGGCTTATCCGCGTGTAAATTATTTTAAAAACATGGCGAGGTAGCCTCATTCTCTTTGCCTCACACTTATAATTAGAAATTGAAAGGCAAGCGCAGAGCTCGTTAGCATAGCCGTAAGAAAGAACAGAGGCAGAAAAATGTCAGAACAGCCTCACTCATTGTCTTGGTGACAAGAGCAAAATCTTAAGATTCCTCCTGTCAGGAAATTACTTTAAGAAGTTGGTTAAAAGTCAGATCCGAAACTTAGTGCAACAGAAGATTAACTCATTCCTGGCTACCAGCTACCCAAAAGAAGCAAAAAGAATACATTGCAAAATTCACAGAAAAAGACTATTTAAAAAAAAAAACAGAATAGAGAATCTTAAAAACGGTTCTACCACAAAACCGCGGACGACAAAATCGCGGTCGACAAAATCGCGTATGTGACGTCATCACAGCGCGACGAAAAAGATCGAAAAATGTAAAAATAAAGCGAAAACCTTACCCTAACCCCCCCAAACCTAACCCTTAACCTAACCCTAAACCTAACCCTAAACCTAACCCTTAACGTAACGAAAAACCTAACGCTAACCCTTAACCTAACGCTAAACGTAATGCTAACGCTCTAACCCTAACCCTAACCCTTAACCTAACCCTAACCCTTAACCTAACGCTTACCTTTATGTGAATCGGCTTGCTGTAATTTAATTTTTATTTCAATTTTTTGATCTTTTTCGTCGCGTTGTGATGACGTGATGACGTCACATACGCGATTTCGTCGACCGCGCTTTTGTGGAACGCGGTTTTGACGGGTCACGCTTAAAAACAACATTTTGAAATGAATCCATCTATTTACCACAATCGCAAACTGCTCCGGCTCAGACAAATTCTTATATTCGTTCTTCAACTTGGCTAATCCATTGAGTTGTTTTTGGTCGGGAAGATGCTTGATTAAATTCTACATTTTAGGGAAAGATACAAAAATTAAAAAGTTCATCCCCCTCCCCTCCTTCCTGACAACTGGTTTGCAAGGCTTTATATTGCATAATTATTTGTACAAAAAAACAAGGGAGATAAACTTCTCTTCAATCTAATAAGGGGCAGGGGTGTCAAACTCGATGTCATTGAGAGCCGCATCAGGGTTGTGTTTGATCTCGGGGGAGAGGGGGGGCATAGCCAGCTCGACGTCACTCGCGTCGGGGGCACCTGTGGTGGCCTGAGCGCTCTGCCAGTGAACACGGGCTCCCGAGCTCCGTTTTGGGCTACGATGGCATCCCGCAAACCTCTGCCAGTGAAAACAGAGCTCCAGAGGGCCAAGGTCTGTTTTCGACTGTGATGGCCTCCTGCAACCTTCTGCCAGTGAAAACGGAGCTTTCCGTTATCACTGGCAGAGACAACGTGGGCTGGTCCTTCACTGTTTCTAGGGTGGCCACGCAGGCCAGATCTAAGCACCCCGCGGGCCGAATCCGGCCCCTGGGCCTTGAGTTTGACACCCCTGTCATAAGGCAACAAAGTCAAAAATAGACAATGAAGAAAAAATATTTATTATTTTAAAAAACCAAGGATCCCTTAAAAATCCCAAAAAAATAAATGTCAAACTCAGTAGGCTCTTTATTACATTTTTAAACTCTCCAACTGCCTTATCTTAGAGAAATCTGCTGATACACATAGTCTAAAGGAAACAGTTATCTTAATAAAAATGGCAAGTATCACGAATACGGAAGGTATAACCTGCCATCTTTGGTGATAATACCAAATTGCATTGATGTATAAACACAAAATTACGTCTGGCTGGGCATGTAACTTTGTTCGTGACTTTCATATATTTTACTACAAATGTGGTAGATTTTATGAAGATCTAATTATTAGGAATACTTGTTTATAAAACTATTAATCAAATTACCGCACCTGGATCATGTATTCTGACAGCTGGGCTTCATCTATTTCCAGAATCATTATTTTTATTTCTTCATAAGGTACTCGAAAAGACCCTAAGAAAATAGCTAAGAACACACATAAAGGCATTTCAGCATGTTTTTATTCGAGAAGGGCAAATTAGGCACTTTGAAACACTTCAAGCATTAAGGTGTTTTCAGAGAGGAGGTTTCTGTGGGTGGGTGAGGCCGACCTGATTGCAGAGGTTAAAAATCTCACATCTGTTTGGGAGACAGGAAAGGTCTGAAAAACAGGATAGATGGATGAATATGCAGGTGGGGAAGGAAGGGAGGGGGGAGGAGATATTATAAAAGGGAGGAAGGGAGATGATAAAATGGAGGGAAGGAGGGAGGGAGGGAAGAAGAAAGGAAGGAAGGAGATAAAAGGGAGGGAGGTGAGATGATGGATGGATGGAAGAAAGGAGATAGAAGGAAGGGGGGAGGGAGGTGAGATGATGGATGGATGGATGAAAGAAAGGAGATAGAAGGAAGGGAAGGAGGGAGGGAGGGAGGGAGGGAGAGAGGAAAAAGGGGAAGAAGAGAGGTGAATGATGGATAGAAAGAAGGAAGGAAGGAAGGAAGGAAGGAAGGAAGGAAGGAAGGAAGGAAGGAAGGAAGGAAAAGAGGAGGCAGGGAGGCGAGATAATGGATGGATTGAAGAAGGGAAGAGAGATATAAAAAGGAGGCAGCGAGATGATAAAACGGAGGGAAGGAGGGAGGAAGAAAGGAAGGAAGGAGATAAAAGGGAGGGAGGGAGGTGAGATGATGGATGGATGGAAGAAAGGAGATAGAAGGAAGGGAAGGAGGGAGGAGAAGAGGAAAAAGGGGAAGAAGGGAGGTGAATGATGAATAGAAAGAAGGAAGGAAGGAAGGAAGGAAAAAGAGGAGGCAGGGAGGCGAGATAATGGATGGTTTGAAGGAGAAGGGAGGAGAGATGATAAAATGGAGGGAAGGAGGGAGGAAGAAAGGAAGGAGATAAAATGGAGGGAGGGAGGTGAGATGATGGATGGATGGAAGAAAGAAAGGAGATAGAAGGGAGGAAGGGAGGAAAATGGGAAGGAAGGAAAAAGGGGAAGCAGGGAGGCGAGATAATGGATGGATGGAAGGAGAAGGAAGGAGGGAGGGAGGAAATAGGACATCAGCAGTAATAGTAGGAGTGACAGAATACTGATAGCAACTAAGCTACAGTGTAGTACCAATGGAGGAGAAGTCACACTTGGGCTGATGGCAGCAGGAGTTTTGACTTCTCCCAGTGATATCAGAATGAACCTCATTAAGTTAATTGGGGAAGGAAACCAAAAGCTGTGGGGTAATAAACCCCGCCCTGAGCAGGCTGGGGCACGAACCTTATTTGGGGGTGGGGGTGGGAGAGGGGCCTGGTCATTTTTAGCGGCTTTACAATCATCATTACCAATCTCTTTTACTATGGATTTATTCCGCACCCACCTTCAGAGAGTCTTTGATCGCAAACAAATGAAACTATGTAAAGACTCCACACAGGAGTAATAAATTATCATCTGACATCGCATCAGAACCAAACTGAAATATAAGGAGGAGGGGTGGGGGGGGAGGAGGAGAGAAAAAGAATGAAAGGACACAAGATGAAAACAGATGTGATGAAGAGGAGGAAAAACAAAGCCTATTCAACTGAATAAAAGTGGGAATGCTGAAAGATACAGACTGAAAGAAAACCCAATTTTTAACAGAAAAACAGAGCTGGAAGGGCCCTTGGAGGTCTTCTAGTCCAACCCCCTGCTCAAGCAGGAGACCCTATTCCATTCTGGACAAGTGGCTGTCCAGTCTCTTCTTGAAAACCTCCAGTGATGGAGCACCCACAACTTTAAAACCAAAAACTAAATCAGCTTTATTTAAAAAGGAATGCTAAATATATGAGCCACGGTGGCACAGTGGTTAGAGTGCAGTACTGCAGGCTACTTCTGCCGACTGCCGGCTGCCTGCAATTTGGCAATTCAAATCTCACCAGGCTCAAGATTGACTCAGCCTCCCATCCTTCCGCGGTGGGTAAAATGAGGACCCAGATTGTTGCGGGAAAGAGGCTAACACCGCTTAGAGAGGGCTGTAAAGCACTATAAAGCGGTATATAAGTCTAAATGCGATTGCGAGATAGAGCTGAGGTAGCGCAGTGGTTNATGAGTTCCCTCCCCTCTCGACATGTATGGTTGTGCGACTGTTGTCTACTTTTATTATTTGTATTTTGTCTTTTATGTTCCCCTTTTTTTCCCCCCTTGAATTGTTCGCCGCCCTGAGTCCTCCCGGAGAAGGGCGGCATACAAATAATAAAATACAATACAATACAAAGCATCCTACTCTCCTCTACTTCCATTCCATTCCATTCCTCATCTCAATACATTATATTCTCTTCTATTCTTTTCCTTCTCTTCTAATTCCTATTCCATCCCATCCCACCCTATATACAATCTTGAAAGTACGCTCAAAGATGTACGCATGTTCCAAAATAGTACCATTGGGGGATGAAAACCATGAGTACTGAATGCTTTAAGGGGATTACATATGCCATGTCAGAACTTACCCTAACTTATTTGCAGAACCAGAACTCCTAATTAAACTCAGAAAATGTTGTTGTTCTCGTCATTCAGCCGCCAAGTCACATCTGACTCTTCGCGACCCCATGGACCATAGCATTGCCACGTGGCAGGCTCCCCTATCCTCCACTGTCTAGTAGACTTTGCCCACATCCTTGTTCACTGTGTCAAAGAAACTATCTAACCATCTCATGCTCTGCTGTCCCCTTCTTCTTTTGAATTCCCTCTTTCCCAACACCAGGTCTTTGGCAAAAAAGCCTATCAGCCAATTAAACCTTGTTTCTATTTTTTCTTCTTCTAACTTTTATCAGTCTCTTTCACTAGTACATGCGTGGTCTGGGGGACGCAGTGGCTCAGTGGCTAAGACGCTGAGCTTGTCGATCAGAAAGGTCGGCAGTTCGAATCCCTAGCACCGCGTAACGGAGTGAGCTCCCGTTACTTGTCCCAGCTTCTGCCAACTTAGCAGTCCGAAAGCACATAAAAAATGCAAGAAGAAAAATAGGAACCACCTTTGGTGGGAAGGAAACAGCATTCCATGCACCTTCGGCATTTACTCATGCCCACAGAAGACAGCGCTGGCTCTTTGGTTTTGAAACGGAGATGAGCACTGCCCCCTAGAGTCGGGAACGGCTTACCTGCCTCGAAGCAGCGCTAGTATACTGCAACACCATTTCCTTTTTGATACTGAAGTCTTTTTCTCTTAGCGGAGCTTTTCGATCCTCGTTTAAATTCATATCTTCCTAAAAAATATTTAAAAAGTAAACACAGGTATGAGAGATCGCAAATTGATTCCAAAATGTTTCGGAGTGGGGAGAAATGGGATGAGGTCTGCTTTAAAAGTCAAGAGGCCTTAAAAAAATTGTTGGGGTGTGTATGTGTGTGTGTGTTTTAATTCCGTGTGCGTGCGTGCGTGTGTGTGTGTGTATGTAACTCTGGAACACCTCAAGCAATTTCAACCAAACTTGGTACACAGATGAGTTACTCTCTGGATAAAAATCTTGTGGGGTTAAGAAATCCCTAACACCACTCGGGGTCTGTGTTCTGTTAAAATACAGCCTGTTGTGCCTTGAAATGGCTTCTACTGCACTGTCATAAAATTGCTTCTACCATACAGTGCAGTGGAGTTGCCATGTTAACGGCTTCACAGTATTCTACAAGGGGGCATCCTCTCATAAGGGGGAAAAATCCAACATTACAATTGGTTTGCACATTTTCCCCCTATAAATAAATACCAGGCAACAATGGGTTACCGGCTAGTTGAAATAAAAAACCACCAGCCTTCCATTTTCTTCTCATTTTCTCGATCCATGGGAAGGAAAACAACTTTCTAAGTAGTCTGCTTAGGAGGTAACAGCCTTTCCATTCTCACCATAGGACATAAGCTCTCGTGGTTTTTTTCCCAAGTCAGCAAATAATGCCAGAAACCAATACTTCAACAAAGATCTTGATATTTCCCATCTTCAAAATAATAATAACAATATCTTCATCACGTGAAGTATTAGTACTGCTTTATCAAGCCTTAGTAAGGCCACACCTGGAATACTGCATCCAGTTAAGAATTACTCATCTAGTCCAGGAGCCGGCCTGCAATGCTTACCATCATTTTTTCAAACAGTGCAAGGATCTCTCCATCTGACAAATGCGTAGGCTTGAAGTCATCCATCTCTGCAGGGGTGGTGCATTCACTAGATGAGCAATGTGATTGCTTCAGATGTGGGAGAGGCGGCCTGTCCTTTTTGCTGCCCGGGATCCGTATGCTAGAAAATTTATCAAACTAAACAAAAAAAGAAGAAGCACATCTCAGCAGGTACACAGTTAGACAGAAAAAACAACCTCATTTCTCCTAAAAAAGATTGATTATCCGGAAGTTTTAAAAGCAAGCCAAAAAAGTTTGATTATACAGTAAGCCAGAGACCATTTACTGTATTTTTCAGACTACAAGACGCACCGGTGTATATGACGCACCAAGATTTCGAAGTGGTAAGTAAGAAAAAAAAAGATTTTGTCCTCCCAGAGGAACACTCTAAAGGCGTTAGCAGGGCTGGGGGAAGGCAAAAGCACCATTTTTGCAGAAAACAGGCCATCTTTTGCAAAAACAGAGACATTTTTGTCTTCCCCCAGCCCTGCTGAAGCATGCAGAGTGCTTCTGGAGGCTTGGGAAAGCAAAAATGCAAAAAACAGCCTGCTTTTTGCAAAAATGGGATGCTGGGGTGGGGCTTCGGGAGGCCAAAAATGGTTGTATTTGGTGTATAAGACGCACCAACATTTCCACGCTCTTTTAGGAAGGGAAAGGTGCATCTTATACTCCCAAAAATACAGTATTCTCACCCACCCCTCCAGACTAGAAACCAATCATTTACAAATTAGAGTTGTTGAAAGTGTACAAATGAGCATTGGAAGGATAGTAANCATGCGGCTCCAGAGCTGCGGGTTGCTGATCCCTGACTTAGACTTATATACCGCTTCACAGTGCCTTACAGCCCTCTCTAAGCGGTTTACAGAGTCAGCCTCTTGCCCCCAATAATCTGGGTCCTCATTTTACCCACCTCGGCAGGATGGAAGGCTGAGTCAACCTTCAGCCAGTCAGGATTGAACTGCTGGCAGTCGGCAGAATTAGCCTGAAATGTTGCATTCTAACCAATGTGCTTTTACAGTTTTGTCTTCCTAATATGTCCTCAGCATGAAACATCCGGAGAAAACAGATACCTCAGGCATAGCCAACAGTAACATTATTTTATTGCTATGAACATTATGAAATTGTTATGTCATGAACAGATGTCTACATGTAGTTGAGGACGTGTGACATATAAAATAACGTTATTCAAAAGAGAATAGCTATAATTGTTTCAGAGGATTATTAAACGTTTCCATTTTTTTCCTGCCAAAAATCTCCAATCAACACTTCTAGACATGGACAAACTTTAGAAGTAATAACGAACATATCCAAATTTTTTATCTTGTGGATTTAAGGGAGGTTAGGTTTTAGAAATACTGGATAAACACAATTTCTAGTGCATTATTCTTTATTTGAAACCAAATATGACGTTCAAAACAACAGAAGATGCCTCTGGCATGACAATTTAAAGAACTTAATGGGTTAAAATCAAAACCTGGGGCTATTATATTTGCTTTAGGTTCATCGGGAGGAATTAAAATTGGCTTAAAATTTCAATTCAGTCCTGGGCAGATTGGCTGTATTTAACCCAGGCTTGGACTCTCCAGAGCAGCGCCCAGGAAAATGGAAAAGCAATTAACAGCACCTTTCATTTTAAAAAAAAATGAACGGATATTCCCAAATCATGATAGCGTAACTGCTTAAATCTCAGTTTGTTGGTTGGTCAAGTTGTTACTTCCTGTTGGTCATTGATAATATGCAATCATTGGTTATCTATGCAGTTGGGTTTTTTTCCTAATATTTAACTATAGAGGTGGCATAGGAGAAACCATTCCCAAATTCTAAGTGTAATAGTGAGATTAATGAATGAGCATATCTAGCTTCATCCAAGGTGGAATAATTGACCCGGAATTTTCTTTTTCTTCAAGTATGCTGTCTGCCTTAGTTACGTGTATTAGTTTTAAAATACCACCAGAAAAGCATTACTTACTTGCAGGTGGACTGAATTCTCCTCGAGACCCTGCAGAATCGGGCCAAATCGGTCAATGCCTCTCGCTTCTGCTTCTTCAGTCAAGGCTTTCAAGATTTTTTCCAGGCTATGGAAGGAAGGGAGAGAGGGAGGGAGGGAGGAGGTGGAAGAGGGAAGGGAGGAAAGAAGGGAGGTGAGATGATGGAAGGATGGAAGGAAGAGAGGGAGGGAGGGAGGAGATGGAAGAAAGGAAAGGGAGGGAGGGAGGAGATGCAAGGAGGAAGGGAGGGAGGAAAGAAGGGAGGTGAGATGATGGAAGGATGGAAGGAAGAGAGGGAGGGAGGAAGGAGATGGAAGAGAGGAAAGGGAGGGAGGGAGGAGATGCAAGGAGGAAGGGAGGGAGGAAAGAAGAGAGGTGAGATGATGGAAGGATGGAAGGAAGGAAAGAAGGAAGGGGGGAGGAGATGGAAGAGAGGAAAGGGAGGGAGGAGATGCAAGGAGGAAGGGAGGGAGGAAAGAAGGGAGGTGAGATGATGGAAGGAAGGAAAGAAGGAAGGGGGGAGGAGATGGAAGGGAGGGAGGGAGGAAGAAGATGGAAGGAAGGGAGGAAAGAAGGGAGGGAGGTGAGATGATGAATGGATGGATGGATAAAAGGAAGGAAGGAAGGAAGGAAGGAAGGAAGGAAGGAAGGAA